GTTATAATATATATATATATATATATATATATTGATGTAGATAATTATTTCTTGAACAAAATTACAGATACGTTAAAATTTTATATTTTATTTTTATAGAAATATTGTACTTTTTTTTGGAAAATTATTTTTTAAGTAGTATTTAATTTTTTTTTATCTTTACGCTAATTAATTTTTCAATACAATAACAATGTTTTTCTTGTTTCCGAATTTCGCAAAAAAAATATTGATGACTAAACAAATATGTGATAACTTAATATCGATTTATTGATTAGATTTCGTTAAAATAACAGGCGATGAATCTATAAGTTAATCTAAGATAGAATAAATAAATTTGGCAGAATTTAGGATGTTTCATAAAATGCATATGTACATCGATGTTTATGGAATGCTTCATCATCTGTTATAATATATTTCTCGATACTCCGTATATGGAATATTAATTGCATCTAAAATCAAATTTAATGAATATTTGTGTCTAAATAGAATTAAGCTCCAATTACATAGTCATCACATAAAATATTTTATCAATTTATTCCTTTGTTTGTGGAACTATTTTACAGTTAATTAAAATATAAATACTTTTTTTTTTTATTTTTATTTGTGTGTATGTGTGTTTGTTTGTGTATGTGATTACTTTCAGTTAAGAATACGTACATTATATCTTTTCTATCTAAAAATCATAGTGTTCTTTTATTATCTGGAAATTATTTGATTCATCAAATTTCATTTAAAAATTTGTATATTGGATTTATATCATTTAAATGTTTACAAGAGACAGTACTAATATAGCATTAAAACAGCTATATGCTGGTCTCTTGTTTTTTAATTATTTGCTAGTTTTGTACATGTTGCGCTTGTTGTAATTCCTCTTCTGTTGCCTCACCTCTTCTTATGTATTGTGCCTTTTCTTGACCACGTACACATGCTTCTGTTATATGGACTGACATCACATCGCTTCCTGGTACATCAAACATAGGTTCTAAAAGTAGAGATTCCATTATGGCTCGTAAACCTCTTGCACCTGTTTTCTTTTCCATGGCTAACGCTGCTATGGCGCTCAAAGCATCGGTTGTAAATGTTAATTCCACCTGTAATGAGAGTTCATTTAGATTAAATTATGTTCAAATATGTATATAATAACATCATAAATATCTATATTTACCTTATCCATAGAGAATAACATCTGATATTGAGGAACCATAGCATTTTTCGGTTCGGTGAGAATTTGAACTAACATATCTTTGTTTAAAGTGTGGAAAGGTACAAGTACTGGAAATCTTCCTACAAATTCAGGAATCATACCAAAGTCTATTAAATCTCGCGCTTCTACTTGTTGCAATAACAAATCTTTTTCTTCGTTGTCTGTTGCCGCGGAAGTTGACATATTGGCTACATCGGCGAGACTGGCAGCTCTTCTTCCTGGACTTTTGGATGGAGGCGTCGCCCCAAAGCCCAAATATTTTTCAGTTTTGCGTCGGGCGATAAGTCTATCTAAACCGTTGTAAGCACCAGATGCGACGAAAAGAATATTTGTTGTATCCACTTGTAACGTATCGCCCCTAAGCTTTCTCGAACTGTTTCTTTCAGGTACATTAACAATAGTACCTTCTAGCATTTTTAACATTCCTTGCTGTACACCTTCACCTCCGACATCTCGTAACTGATGTATACCAGGAACAGCACCTATTTTATCAACTTCATCTAAAAATACAATACCCATTTGCGCTCTATCCACTATATAATTGGCATCTTGCAAAAGTTTAGCTATAACACTCTCTATATCTTCTCCGACGTATCCTGCTTGTGTCAGTGTGGTACAATCACAAATTGCAAAGGGTACATCTAAACATTGAGCTATTGTTTGCGCCAACAAAGTTTTTCCTGAACCAGTTGGTCCGAACAATAGAATATTACTTTTTTCTAACTTCAATTGATGTTGTTGACTGTCTAAAATGTCAGATCCAGGTGGAGACTGATTCGATCCTTTCTGTTGATCATTACTACCAGAAATATTTTGATATCCGACTCCTAATGAATTTCCGACGCTAGATATGTGCAATAAATCTAAAAAACAAAAGAAAAAAAGAAAAGCCTTTCAATATTTGTCCAACAATTTTTTACATTAAATTATATTAAATGTGGGAGAATAAAAATATTTTCTCAATTAGGCCACTAATAAATTATAATAAGAGATATTATTTACGTGGTTTAAGACCTCTATGAGTAAACGGATGATTCATTTCTTGTGAACCAACTGAACCAGCATTAGGTTGAATGCTCTGTGCTGGTAAATTGTTATATATCCGTTTATAATGATTATATACAGCAACACTGAGTACCTTTTTAGCAAATTCTTGACCAATAACATGCTTATTCAGATATTCAAAGATCTGAAATTATTCATTGATAGTATTTGTATACTATATAATTAATAATAATATTTAGTTTTATATTAAGAGATATTGTATCACTTTTTTAGGAGGCGGAGGTGGTTTTCTATAAAATCCATGTTTGGAATCCGTGTCAGGTCTCAACGCATCTTTCAAAGTTCTTTTCGAATCTACTTCGGACAATACTACAAAAAAGTGATGACATTTTTCGCACTTCACAAATCTCGTTGATGCTATTGAAGAAAATAAAAATTGATGTTAATATTATTGATTATTTTTAAAAGTCAAAAGAAATAAAATAGATAAAAGTATTTGTACTTACATACAAAAGTTTCAACATGAGTACAAGGGTCTCCACATTTTGGGCAAATAAGAGAATCTTTTTTACCATTATCTCCACCAGATCCTGATGCTCCGGATGTTGTACTACCACCACTTTTACTAGGTGGTACCGATTCGGTTGGAGCCTTAGCTAAGCTTGTACTTGTCGTAAGTGATCGAGTAGCAACAACTCTAACAATTTTGTGAACTAAACAACCGCCAAATTTAATAGTTGAATGTTATTAAATATTGATATATACATATTATTAAAAAAATCATACTCACAGTGGCTGCTGACATGATTGGAAGATGCTAAACGTCCAGCACTGATCAAACAACATCTTACACAACTCATTATTACAATCACTACTTGCAATGTTATATCTTCAAAATAAAATATGTATTATACAGTGTTAGCTCCTGTATAAATTGAGATCTACAAAAGTATAAGAACTTTCTAAGTAATATAATATTCAAATGATCAATATTAATGAAAATACAAATTAAACAATCATTAATTGCCTTTATTTTTAATCAACAAAATAGATCTTTATTAGAGAAGATATTATTTTAATTTAACTAATAACCTACATATATGTGTGCAAACTAAATTAACACATCGTAATAATATTATTAATTATCTTACAAAAAGGGATCTAATGGCGAAGAGTTAATATTTGAAAAAGTGAACTGCGTAAATGACAATATATGGCAGTAGATGACAGAAACAAAAATAATACACTGCACGAATTTACACGTCAACAGAGACTACTACTAATCTTATAGATCTTCACACGTATATAAATACGCTTATAGGCGAAAATATAACTTTCATTGGAGTAAAAAATTTTTCAAATCTTTCGAATGATTTGACAAATGTCATTACGAGCAATCGAATCTATCGATGGACGATCGATAATAAAGGTAAACGCGTTTCAAAAATAAAATCATACAAATATCTGACACATCATGAACGCAGGACAAAACAGGCTAATGTCTTATGAAGAGAGAAAAAAAAATACAGTTCAAGGTCAAAGATAATACCGCAAATCATCCAACTGCATTCCTAACGATGCTCGTTTGTAAATTTCTTTGTAAAACTTAATACATTACATAATTTACCTCTATCTTGAACAAAACAGTGCAAGATGTTGCGATGATAGTTTTTACCAACGTTTCTAGTTTTGTAAACATATACGAATGTATACGTATGATCGTTGACCAACGCGCTATCTACTGAACAACTTTATATGTAATTAATGTGCACGCTTAAATAAAATGCCCGAGTTATATTAATTCTTATCCTTTAACTTTACGTACTTTCCTTGTTAATTATCATAACGTGTTTATATCATTTAAAAAATGTTGCTATCGATAAGATGTACTGTATTATTTATTTAACAATACATTCTATTTTTGAATAAGCATTATACAAATATTATTTTACCTATACGCGTTGTTGTAAAATATCATATACGATGGTGCAAAATTACAACTAATTTCATCGTTTAGTTTTTTTATTTCAATATTTTATTAAAACGTTACTGTTTGTTTATTGTTTAAGCAAGAAAATTTGATTGCAGATTCCTTTATTTGATAATTTAAATTAATTCCATCTAGCGAGTAAATAATGATATTAAATTCGATATTCATTATTTGCTATTTTCAGTATTTTTATCGACAACAGTCATTTTAGTTTTCATTATCTTCCGTCAGGGGCGCTATAATGCATTCGCATTCTGCATGTTTTCTTAACATTTAATGAATCTATAAGTGTTGTTTTTTATTTATATATATATAGAATATATATATTAATAATAAAAATTATTTAGTATTAAATATTATATACAATTAAAGAAGAAAAAGAAAGTTACACGATGGGAAAAACCGAATTTAATGACGAGGTAAAAGCTATAGTAACTTATTCAATAATTTAGAGGTTATGAGAGTTTGTTGAACTTTAACAAAGTAACAAGAACAAGTGTTTGTATGTTTATTACAGATTGTTCGAATGCGAAAATTAGTAAAGCAGGCCAGGGTACGTGTAATTCATAAATTGACTAGAGAAGCCAAAACATTACGTGCGAAAAAAGGGACTGAGAAACAACTAGAAAAGAACAAGAAGAAAGCTGACAAATTGATCAACGAGATACACTTTTTGAAAAAGTTGAAAAATGATAATATTACCAAATTTGGCATTAGTAATAAAAAGAGTTTGCAAGAAATTTTACAAAGTAAAAAGTCTAAGGTAAGTGCTCGTATCATGGCTAGAATAACGGAACACAAGTTGTTGAAAAATGCCATAATTCAATTTCGCGACAAGTATCCTGATTATGAACAACATTTACAACCTGGAAAAAATAAATCTGCGAAGCAAAATAATAAATTTGATAAGCAAGATGAGAAGGAAATAACAGTAAAGAGAGAAACACTTGATAGTAGCGAAGTCACTGAAAGTTTAGTAGAAAATGAATTAAATTCTGACAACCAAGATAGTGATGTAAAAACAGGAATAGAAGATAACAGTGTAAAATCAGAAATAGAAGATAACAGTATAAAATCAGAAATAGAAGATAGCAGTGTAAAATCAGAAATAGAAGATAACAGTGTAAAATCAGAAATAGAAGATAATAATGTAAAATACGAAATAGAAGATAATAGTGTAAAATCAGAAATAGAAAATAATAGTATAACATCAGAAACGGTAGATAATAGTGTTCTATCAAAAACAGAAACAGGAGATAACAATCTTTTTAAAGAAGAACAAAATTCAGAAGAGAAACATGATTCAGAAGCAGGAAGTATTATCAAAACAGAACCTACGATTTCTGAAAAAATTGAACAAATAGATAGTAGGAAACATTTGAAAAGGAATAGAAAAGAAATGACTGAATCTATAAAAGAATACAATAATAATGGTGACAAGAATATCAAAAAAGCACGAATAAAGGAAGAAATATCTAAGATGGATAAGAAAAAAGAAACAGTTAAAGTTATTAGTAAAGAGGCAACAGTTAAAAGGTTTGTAGACATTCTACAGGAAGAAAATTCGGAAGAAAATTTGGAAGAAAATTCGGAAGAAAATGTTTCATTGAAGGTAAACGATAAGAAATTTTCTAAGAATAAGTTAAAATCTGAGAAGACAGTTGATCCATTTTTCATTAGCGGGGATGGTAATGAGTATCTTAGTTTGGCACCATCGAAAACGAAAGAAAATAATGATTTGTCGTTGGACGAGGATGATAACTTTTATAACAATAAGAGATCTAAACAGTATAGTAGTAATAAAAGATCATTCGCGAACGATAGATTCTTTAGTAATGTAAAATCTTCTTCTGAAGATATAAGAGGAAGAAGGAGAAGACAGGAAGAAAGTCAATATAATGACAATAATTTTAATAGGGATAAAAGTTTATTTAAAAAGCAAAAGTACAATAATGGGTCATCGTTCAGAGATACAAAAAATCATAATAAGAATGTCATCATGAATGCAAATTCAAATGAAAATGAAAATTTACATCCGTCTTGGGCGGCTAAGAAAAAACAACAAGAAATTCTAAAGCAAGGTTTCCAAGGGAAAAAAATTGTTTTCGATGACGAATAATTTATATCTAATTTATAATTGATATTTTTTAACAGACGTTGTAAATAAATTATTCTTATTCTTATATGATAGAAAGAAATTTCTTTTTAGTAGAAATTTAAAAGAGAAATTTGTATGAATATAATGCTCTTATATGATATTATCACTTACACCAAATGAAAAGATTACGGAAATAGGACAACTAGACGTGACGGGAAATGAATAATTTTATAAGCTCATCACTTACTCTGCTTTGATCAGTGATTTTCTACGTCGGAAAGCGATTACGTTCGCCAGGACGGTTCAACATCATTTATTTCTTCGCTTAAGAACAATTTTCGTACGCATAATTGTATTCCATGATTAATTATTTATTTCAAGAAAGAAGAAAAAAATGGATTCCTTGAAACGTTTTTCATTTTTTGTATATTTAAAAAAAATATGGTATTGGTTAAACTAATATATTCAGTTACTAGTAATACTAAATACAAATGAATGCTATTAGTCGAATAGTTCACACTGAACTTTTATTATAACATGTATGTACATATATATACATATATATATACACAATGGGATACATTCTTATTATTAAACAAATCAATTCTAATTAAATCTAGATAAAAAAAATTGATTAAACTTCTATAATTAAGTTTATGTAAATGTCGAAAATATAAAATAAAATGTAAATAAACTAAGATACGCTTAAGACTGTCCTTAATTTCATGATATCATTTAAATAAATTTAGAAAATAATGAATTACGACTAATGATCGAAGAAAACGATGATCATGTATTATATGCGACCGATTTTTTTTTTCTTTTTTACAAATTACAATATTTAAAAAAATTATAGTGTATTAAGGGGGTGGGGGCAGGAACAACATTTGGCTCCATTCATGAGTCCGATTTCATAAAGAAGGGATAGGATCAATGTATTTAATTTTCTTCTTATTTCTTTTTAGACAAAGTACGTTGTTTTTCTCCATGAGTAACTAATTGTGAATCAACGGGAAGACCTTTTCGACGTCTTACTGCGTCCATGTATTTTTTCGCGCGATTTTCACTGTCTGCTTTTTCGCCATAATGAAGATATTCTTCTTCCGTGGATGGTACCCAATATGGATCTTGTTCGATTACCTAGAACATAAGTAAAAAATAACAAAAAAAATTAGATTAAAAATATACAATTAAATATATTACTAATGTGTAGATAATTCTAATGGTTAAAGTTTACTAACAGAAGAAGATCTTGCAAAAAGAAATAACGAGGGAAATAATTTCAATTACTTATTAACATGTAGATTTATTTCTTATTATTTGGGCCATTTTGAATAGGTCGATTAAATTTCTCGAAACACATCGTCGGTTCTCGTTTTACAAGAAGAAGACGATGAAGAAGGAAAAGAAGAAGAAGAAGACCCTAAAAGGTAAGAAAGAAAGAAAAGAAGGTAAAAAAAAACAAAATGTCGTCGTTCCATCCTAGCTGTTAACCGGACGTTAAGAAATTCCGTCACAGGGTATACCTATCCTTCGGTTATATACGAAGACGCACCAGGAAGAAGAGGAAGACCCGAGAGGAACGAAAAGATATATCCGTGGGACGTATTATTTCACAACACAACAACGCTTCCTTCATATATTCACAAGACAAATTTGATTATTACCATTATCCCTTATTATTATTAATATTACAATGTGTCAGAGGTTTGTATAAGAAAAGAGACACGATTGTTATTTTTCTGCCTCCTTTTCTTTCTTCTTCTTCTTCTTGCTTCTTGCTTCTTTCGCAGAAAAGAAAACCTACGGATGAAAATCATGCAGGTGATTTTATTTTTCGTTCTCTTTTTTTCTTTTTTGTTCCCTTTTGCACCCTTAGAGTTCCTTTTTACATATATTCTCTTCTTTTTTCTTATTTCGCTTTTTACGGATACGTTGTTCGTCGTTTCTCTTTTTCTTCTTTTTTTTTCTTTTTTCCTTTCTTTCTTTCTTTCTTTCTTTCTTTCTTTCTTTCTTTCTTTTTTTCTTTCTTTCTTTCTTTCTTTCTTCTTTCCTTCCTTCCATCCCTTCTTCATCTCTTTTTCTCCTTTTCTCTCTTTCTCTTTTATTCGTATTGAAATTTATAAGATGCGGACACCTGGTGCGGACCGAAGCAAACGAGAAGGATAATCTATAGTCCGTGGAATCGAGTTCGAGGGAGTCCGCAAGAAAGGACTATAGTTTTCCTCTTTATACCAAACAACGAAAGATGGTAAAAGACGGACGACATGCTCGCGTCACCCAACAACAACAACAGATGGTAGATAGCACTTTTTGTTTCAAGCCAGATTTGTTTTCGTAGGTTTTCGGAATATTATGTTCTACAACCAACTAACCAACCAACCAAACACTGCGACGTTGTTAAACCATCCTATCATTTATTTTCCTTCTCCCCTTTCTAGTGTATCCCAATAAAACAGTATATATACAGTGTATAGTCATCTCCGTTTTCCTGCGAAACGATACTTTTGATTGATTTCTCGCATTACAAGTTAACAACGTGTATCCCAACAACCCTTTCCCACCCCCCCTATTCTTGTTTTAGCAAAATCTTTCAGCATTATCCTTCTTCTATGCAAAATAATAACAACTGAGAGGGCTGAGAAACGGGCGGCTTTTTTTTTATCCGATTTTATATCATCTTTTCTATAGAATAATAATTTTGAAAAAAGAAATATATCATAGAATATCCTTCTTATTCTATGCAAAATAGTAACAATTGCGTGGCAGGGGGGGCAAGGATCCGGGGGATGAAAGGGATTATTTTTCGATCCGATTTTATATTTTCTATAGAATAATGATTTAAAAAAAGGAAATTGAACGGAACGATGGAAAATACTTTTTGCTCACTTTGGATTTTTTCTTTCTTCTTCTTGTTCTCAATCTTTCCTCGTTAAGATTCATAGTGTTCGAGTTTAAATGGTTTTTTTTATCCTTATATATATAGTTCGTTCGTTCTTTCGTTCGTTTCGTTTCGACTAGTGGAGAAAAGTGTTCGGTGAAGAGAAAGATGATGGTAGGGATAGTTTCCTTCTCCTACCCAGCACAGCAGCAGCAGGGAGTCCGTAGAAAAAGAAATGACCATCCTCATCCTCCCCCTCCCCCTTCTTCATCCTCCTCAACCTCATCCTCATCGTTCGGTTGTTTACCAGCAGCGGTTCTTCGCGGTAGTCGAGCAAAAGATGATGATGGTCGAGAGAGAGAGAGAAGAGAGAAAGAGAGAGAGAGGAGCACCAACAGCAGCGCGCGTCCTGTATATACGATTTCCGGTTCTAACTATCGTCATTATTTCTTCAATTTCCGAACGGAAGTACTAATTTCACCGATTTAATCGCGCACCTTTTTTTTTCTAAGTCCCCTCCCCCCTCTTCGCCCCCTACCTGCCATTTTTTCTCTCTCTTTTTTTTTACTATACTAACTAACTTGCGTGTTGTCCCCTTTTCCACCCCATCCCTCCCCCCTATGTGTATTTCTATTTCTTCTTTCGTTCGTTATTTTCTTGACACCACGTGTCAAAGATCATCCATCTTATCTGTCTATCTAGTAAGTGTAGAAGAGAATTCTTTTTTTTGCTTTTCTTATTTCAATCCAATTAAATTTGAAGGAATAAAATTGTTTTCCTTTTTTTGTTTAACGTCATTCGCATATTTTGTTTTCAATCATCATAGTAGAATAAATCTTGTCGTTTACAAGGTTTTACCTTTATTAGATATGTGAAAAGTTTAATGATGAAATATAAATTAGTATATGGTATAATAAGTAAATATATGAAAAATTTCATCGAACGTATTATTCAAATGAATTTTTATTAGAAAAAATGTAACGTTCTCTATCTGTCAAGTTAATTTATTTTCTTTAATCATTTTAGGATTAACCAAAAGTTTGTGAGTTTTTTTTTTTAAATTGATATTACCAATTTAAATTATACAAAAAACAATCCGTTATGCAGTTTATATATATTATATATATATATATATATACAATTTATAATAAAATAAACTCACGAACTTTTGGTTCACTTAACTTTATTCATTTTTTTTGTTTTGGTTCATTTAACTCTAATCGAAATATTCTATCCGTGACAAACAAAAGTGTATATCCCATTTTATTAATCGGAGGAAACCAAAAAAAAAAGAAAAAGAATGGTCGCAAAATACGCGCGTTCACGAAACGGAGGGGAACGTTTAAATAAAAACAGAAAAAAAGAAAAGATAGGTAAAAATAATAACTATAAATCGTATAAAATTTATAACCAAGAATGTATCATCGTATTTCGTGTAACGAGAAGTTAAAAAGAAAAGGGGATAAGTTTCCTTTTTCTTCTTCTTCTTCTTCTCTTCAGGGTCCACGAAACGGCGTCAAAAGATTTACCCTACGATCAACGGATAATATAGCATCTTCTTGGAAAAAAAAAAAAAGAAAAAATACTTAGCGTGCTTGATAATAAACGTTTGAATTTCGAAATAGCTATGATGGTTGGTTGGTTGTTGGTTGGTTGGGCGGGGCGGAGGGGACTTGACTTCTTTTGTAGGAAGAAGACGTATTTTTTCTTTTCTTTTTTCCTCAAGAAGATAAGCGAGCTAAGATATCTTCGAGGGGGGCCACCCCCTTTGCTTTCCTAACCTCCTTCCCTCCCACCATAACCACTCTGTCCTATCAACTATCAAAGGTTTTATATGTCCCCTCGTAAAGGGCTGGTGGTGGTGGTGGTTCTTCTTCGAGGTATAGTCCTTTCTTCTTCATTGTCATCCCGTCACCGGTCGATCGTCCTCATTGTATGCGGAATAATAGCACGCCAGGGGTTTGAAAGTTATACCGAAAAATTTCAACCGTAAGATGGAAAAAAAGATCCTGACACCCTCCTCTCATCCTCATCCTCATCCTCATCCTCATCCTGGTCCTGGTCCTATTTTCATTATCAAGGGTCTTTGGCTACTTTTCGACTTCGTTCAGACTAACCTGTAATGCTTTTCCTTTTTTCCTTTTGGTCCTTTTCCTTTTGTCCTATCATCTTTTCATCTTATCCTTAGATTTTTATCAAATAACAGAAAAATCTTCTGTTAGCAATTCTTACGAGATTAACGAGGACTATTTTTTCACCCCTCCCCTCTTCCTCCTCCCTACATTTGAATATATCTGAGGTTTTAGATCATTATATAATACATTACTATTTTCTAGCTTACTATATTATATAAGAAATTTCATTTATCATTTTACATTTGAAATATATTTTACGACTGAAAAAAGAAAAAAGAACGAAAGAAAAGAAAAGAAAAGGAAAGAAAAGAAAAGAAATATCTAAAAATAAAGAGAATTTGGTCTCTCGAGAATATATGAGACGATTCTTCGAGTGTTCTTTGTTACCTATACCACCTGTTAAATAAAAAGGGGTTGAAACAAAGGAGACTATTGACTTTTTGATACTTTAGATTTAGGGTTCGAAGGACTGTTATGTAAAACGATATTGTTATTAGGGGATTTGTCTGGAAATCATATTTTTTTTTTCCTTTTTTTTTCTCGTAATGTTCTTTTGTCAATTGATTAATATTTATCAAATTATTAATCGTATTGTTTGATAGATTTTTAAATATATATATATATATAAAAGTGTGATCTAATTTAAAAATTTATTCACGAATTATTCGTATACAATCGAATATTTATTTTCTAATTATTATTGGCAAACATGGGGGAGAGGGGGGGAACTGTCGACGAAAGATAAAAGTGTTTTATTAGGAAACAAAATAACGTGCGAGGAAAAGCTTTTAAAATAATCTCGAACTTTGGTTTTATATATCTCTTAAGGGTATATATCTTTGGTTAGGCAGATCTGATCTACCTATTACTACCTTTACTAGGTTTATGGTGGTCATCTTACCTCCCAATGGCTAAAAACGAGCTGAGGACTCGCCAATCCGGACGTTTGTGTTCTTAGTTCCCTCGCAAGTTGAAAGCTTTCAGGAACCGGTAACGTTGCCAGAACACGAAATTGTCCACCGAAACCCAAAGTATTTTCAGCGGCTATAACACGACCTTGTCTTTTTCCAAATGCTGCGTACAATTTGCCTGGAAATAGAAAAAAAAAAAAACAAATCAAAAATTATTCGAAACGTTCGGTATCAATTTTTTCTTGTTGTAATTCCAACGTTTCCAATAAAGTATTAAGAATTTGATTTTCATATCTAATTTATCGTACAAAATGATAATAATCGAAAAAAATAAGCTAATAAAATGATTTACATTTAATATTATTTTATATACATTTAATAATATTATTATTTTATTTAATTATTATTTAATATATTATTCAATAATCGAAAAAATAAGCCAATAAAATTATATTAATATTTAATATTATTATTATTTTATTTAATTTATATTTAATATTATTTTATATAATTAATATTCGATTCGTTCTATTAATACTCGAGAAGAGAACAGATTTTTTAAGTTTGTAATAATAAATACAAATTTATCGTAATATGTACGATAGGGGTAGATAGGTGGGGGTGTATATTTATTGTTAAATGATGATGGATAGATAAAAATCGTTTTCATCTCGTTTCTCTTCTCATCTCATCTCATCTCATCTCGATAACGAAATAAGATGACGACGAGGGATCGATAGAAAATAATAATTCGAGGCACGTAGAATCGTTGCAAACGTTCGCGTTGGAAAACAACAACCAAGGAACGTTCTCATACATTATTTATTCGATATATATAGTATATACCTGCTACCTTTTCTTTTTCTCTCCCCCTCTCCCGTCTGCTGTACCCCACTATTTCTCTCTTTCTCTCTCTTCCTTTTACTACCGACAACACGCTCGACATAATCTGTGATGCGAATAACCGATGATGATTTCTCGGCTCCGTTTATATTAGGTATATTACACCGCGAGTTACATCGTAGAATTACAATAATTCGTTAAAACTCGTAACGAAGATTTTGTTATGTGATATTACATTGTTTCCATAAACAATATATAGATGGAATTTAAATTGAAAATAAAAATGATCGATAAAGGGGAGAAAGTAGAGACGAGGATTATATTAGAAGTTTGAAAATATACATATAGTCCAGGCAACAAAGGAGAACTTGGAAAATTTAGCGCCCTTGTTAAAATTTGATATAATGGTAATTCGACGACGCTGAATCGAATGGTGCTAATTTTTTTGCAATTGGATCAGGAGATCTTTGAGAAAAAGGGTAAAAAAGGGT